TTCGTTACATTTTAGAATGTTGGAATATTTATATTTCCAATATTTCCGTGAGTCAATTATTTTATTGGTGTTTGAATGAATCAGTTTTTCCGATTTGCATGTAACTTCATAAATCATTTCCAATTTATATATCAGTTTCCCATGATTTATAATTTACAATTTTACAACATCCTTGTGATTGTGATATTAACAATTCATTGTTTCTTGTTTCTCATTTTAATATCTATATAGTAATTAGTCCAAAGTCATGGATAAATGGGGGTGCTATGTTGGTTCCAAAGGGTTTCTTTTAGATCTATTTATTTATCAGATTCTTATATATTCTCTCAGTCTACATCCTGCTTTCTTGTGGGAAAGTAAATTGCAAAATCACCCTTGTCAAACTTATTCAATTCATTCATTGCTAGCACCAGATAATGTCTGAAGTGAGTGCTTCACAAGCTAATAATTAATAATTATTTAATCAAAGTGGTAAGGATGTTCACCTTAGATTATATTAGATCATTCCATCATTTTCACCAAACAACCTTGTCCTGTGTTCACATTGAAGCCAATTTTGGGAAGTTGAATGAGTGCCAACCACATAAACTCTAACCATCACTTTATATCAGATCATCCCATCATTTTCACAAATCAATCTTGTCTTGAATGCACTATTATTCACTAAGGAGTGGCTATATGTGTAATTAAAGCTCTGCACAAGCCAGCCCGAGCCAAGCTCAACCTTGGCTTGAAAAAATAATGATGACTCGAGCCAAGCCAAGCTTATAAACCAACTGGCTTGGCTCGGCCTCTTGGCTTGCAAGCCAGCTTGAGCCAGCTTGATTAATATGATCAACAGTTACTCAAATAAAATAAATATTATAATAAATGCATTTTTCATTGTAATAATAGTAGTAATTAAATTTTTAATTCCTAACATTATATGAGATGTCCACCAGCAATATGGGGGTCTGAGAACTCCTGGCCAAAATTGAGTTTTTTGCATAATGTATATCTATATCATAAGGATTATAGTTGGTGAAAAATTTAGAACATGTTTACCTAGTACAATAATGAGATACAAGACTTGAAATATTTACTTTACATATCAAAACTATTTGTGTAACCAATTTTGTTTTGATAATAATACAGAACAATTTAATAGTCTCAGACCCCCTTTTTGCTGGTGGACATCCCATATGTGTGTTCTTTCTTTTTTCTTTAAAAATGTATAATGATAATCATGACAACAGTTATAATGTGATTGAATTGCTTGAAGATGATAATGAGTACAAATATAATGAATGCAAGTACAATAATAAATATCAGAATGAACACATATATAATGTTAGAAGTGGAAATGTAAATGAAAGTGGAAGTGTAAGTGGAAGCATAAACGAAAGTGTAAGTGGAAGTGGAAGCCTAAATGAAAGTGAAAGTGCAGTTGGAGTTGGAAGTATAAATGAAAATGAAAATGAAAATGAAAGTAGTAATGCGTCTTCCTCTTCTTCTAGGAAACAAACATCTGCTGCCTATAAACATTATAATTTTTCAAATAGTCAATGGCATTGTAAATATTGCAGGTAATGGTAATGTTGGTGATTTATATAATAGTTTATTTTATATGCTTATTTTTTTTTTAATTGACAATAGTAAGAATTTTGGTGATTCATCGACAACAACATTATGGAGACACTTTAATAATAATCATTCAAAAAAATATGGAGTAATAACTGGCCCTATGGATAAATTTTGTAATTCTAATAATAATCTACCAGAAGAGGTAATTGGTTTTCTTTAAATTTCATTTAAAAATATAACATATTTAATTTTTTTTTTATTTTTAGTTTACGCAAGAAGGTTTTAGACAAAAGTTGCTTCATTGGATAATAATTAATGATCAACCATTTGTTGTTACTGAAGACCAATCTTTTGGAGAGATGCTAACATATATAAAACCTGATATCAATATTTCATCACCAGATACTGTTTGTCGTGATTTATCAAAAAAATTTAAAGAAACCAAAGAATTGGTTTGTAAACACTTACAAATAATTTAAATATAATTAATTTTCAAATACTATGCTTAATATTAAAAATTGAAAATTTTTTAATTAATAATATTATTATTTATGTTTAGGAAACACCTGGACTTATTTCATTCACAGTTGATGCATGGACCAGTAGGAATCAACTTCCATTCCTTGGAATAAATGTGCATTTTATTGATAAAGAATGGAATCTAAAAAATACATTATTAGATTTTTGTATTCTTTCTGGGCCACATTCTGGTGAAGACTATAAAATTTCTACCAAGGTATATTATTTTTATTTATTTTATATTAAAAAATCCCCTTTTTGCTAATAAATCATTGAATTTTAGCTCTTAGCAATTGGATGTGACAATGCTTACAACATGAATACCATGCTTTGTAATATTTCAAATGTTTTGGCTAGACAAAATATATTTTTTGATCCAGAAAATCAACATGTTCGCTGTCTTGCCCACATAATTAATTTGGCAGCAAAAAAAGCTTTAGGAAAACTTCATGCAATTGGACCTGATGATGATAATTATATATTAGAAGAAGAAGATACAAGTGAAAATTTAAATAATGTGGTCTACAAGGTAGGTTGTGTTAATTATTACATTAGTAATAGCTTTAAATCTTCAATTAAATTTTAATTTAAGATTTTTTATTGATTTTAGCTTCGTAAATTAATAATTAAAATTCATGCATCACCACAAAGACATGAACTTCTTAAGCAGCAGTGCATTGCTGTTAACATCAAACCATTAGAACTTATTCCAGATGTTAAAATTCGCTGGAACTCAACTGAATCAATGTTAAGCAGAGCTCTGGAATAAAGATGTTAGCTGAAATTATTTCACTTAGTAAATGATTGTCACCGAATCCAAAATGCCGAAATATTTTTTCATAGTTGCCAAAATTAACTTTATTAATTGTTGAAATTATACTCAAAATTATTTGAACACTTTAACTCAATAGCCAAAATTCTGGGTAGTTTTTTTATGTCCATCATTATGAAAATATTGTAAATCCGAAATTGCCTGCCATAATTGATTTTTTCAAAAACCATTTCGGCTAACATCTTTACTCTGGAATTAAAAAAGGTTAGATTAAAAAAAATAATATAAATAATTTATATAATTTATGAATCTTTTTAATAATATAGGCACTTCATAATATTGCATCATCACAAAGAGAACTTAAAACTTATGTACTCTTAGATAGTGAGTGGATTAGCATAAAGGAGATCCTTAAATTCATGCAGGTTGGTAAATAACTAAATAAATATTTTCTTTGATTGAAGTAATAAATATATTATAAATTGACTTATCATATTTGTAGCATTTCAAAAAAGCTACAGATTACATATCAGGACATTTGTACCCTACACTTGCATTCAGCATTCCAGTATTTAATTTTTTGTTGGATAAAATAGAAGATACAATTGACAATTCAAACACAAAACCAAATATAAAAAATGCAGCAGAAGCAGCTGCAGAAAAAGTCAAAGAATATTATCCAACAACTGATGGTCGAATTTATATAATTGCCACTAGTAAGTTAAACAATAATTCTATAATATATTACCTTTTATATTAATAATTATTTATTTAAAATTCATAATTAAATAGTTATGGATCCTAGGTTGAAAATGAATTATTATAAAGAAAATGAATGGGAAGATTTATATATTTTGGAAGCAGAAAAGGTAGTAACTAATATTTGGGAATCAACTTATAAAAACAATTCTTTAAATGATGAACAAATTTATGAAGATACTGCAGAAGATGATCTTTTTCTGCATATTTTTAAAAAGCAAAGAACAGTTAGAGATAATGATGAATTAAAAACTTATCTTAGAGAGCCAGTCGTAAATAGTAAAACAGATGTTCTTTTGTGGTGGAAGGTATGTCCAAACAAAATAATAATAATAATAATTTATATAACTTAATATTAATTATTCATATTTCATATATAGATAAATGAAAACCAGTATCCAAATCTATCCAAAATGGCCCAAGATTATTTGGCAATACCAGGTATATATAAATAAACATTAAAATTTGATACATATAGCAATTACTTATCATATATTGTTTGTTACATTAGCCACAAGTGCACCAATAGAATGAATATTCTCTGGAGGAACAGATTTGGTAGTCCAACGAAGATGCAGTTTAAAAAGTAAAACTATCCAAGAATTAATGTGTCTCAAAAACTGGTTTAAATCAGAGTTTATAGATTAATAATTGGTTGATTTACCTTTAAAACATCATCTAATTAGATAGTTTAATTTTTATTTTTATAAAATGTATGTTTACTTAATTTTAAATAAAAATAATAAAAATACAGATATTACATATTAAAATATATATTATTATTATAATTAAAAATAATGTTATAAAAATTTATTAAAAGTTAATTGGAGGATCATTTCTAAATTTAGCAATTTAGTCATATAGTCAAGTTCAAGCTGGCTCACGAGCCAGCTCGAGCTTTTTAAATGAGCCAGAATGTTAGCTTGAGCTCGTTCAAGCTGGCTCGTGAGCCAGCAAGCCAATTTAAAGGAGGCTCGAGCCAGCTAGGCTCATGCAGAGCATTATGTGTAATAGTCAAACCTAGTGAAAAATAGTTTAGAAAGTAAAATCCATAAATATACATATTATCAGGAATTATCATTTTATGACTCAGACACAATCTCATAATATCCTGACAAATATATCAACAAACAAATTTGTCTGAAATAAAACTTTTTTACTTTTTTTATCATAAATATTTTTATGTTTATAGATGATAAAAATACAAAATTAAAATAAAATATATAAAATGTTAAACAATATATATAAATGCTCGGTCCTGTTTACTTCATCGAAAATTATCTCGTCGAAAATCATTTCGTCGAAAGTCATTTCGTCGAAAGTTCATTTCGTTGAAAGTTCATTTCGTCGAAAGTTCATTTCGTCGAAAATTATTTCGTTGACAATCACTTCGTTGACAATCACTTCGTCGACAATCATTTCGTCAAAAGTTTGTTTCGTCGAAAGTTCATTTCGTCAAAAGTTTATTTTGTCGAAAGTTTATTTTGTCGAAAGTTTATTTCGTCGAAAGTTCATTTTGTCGAAAATTATTTCATCGACAGTTCATTTCGTCGAAAATTATTTCGTCGGCTCATGTATCATACTAATGATAAATGAGGTGATGATAGTGATGGCAACAATATCAACATTGAATATTTTAGTATTGATAATAATTATTGTTTTTTAGTAGAGTGTGTGGATCAAACAAATTGGTAATATTTCTTTCATGATACATAAATTTGAGTCATTCGTATACTTGCCAAATTCAATCAGGAATGTATAATGTAAATTATACTAATAATAAATAAATTAAATGGTTACGCTAAATCATTAAATCGAAAATTAGTTTTTGATATTATTAAAATCGTATGATTACATGGGTCTGACAATCAAGTAAGGTTTCTAGCCCAAACTGTTTCTCAAAATTCAAACTATTTTGTCGATTTGGGTTTTTCAACATTTTTTATACAGAGGTAGGTATATTAGACCAGAAACCAAGCCATCAGACGAATTTTTTTGTACTTTAATTACAAAAGTATAATAATAATATCGTGTTAAATAAATAAATAAAAATTTTTGTCAATTTTTGGAATTATGCATGCTCTATTTTTAAAAAAACAATAATAATAAATTTTTTTTTGTTACATGCATTATTTATTTGATAATTTTGGTTAGTATTTAATTTTAAAATCAAATTGGTTATTGTAAGAGTATACAATATATCTGATTTTATTTAAACAATTAGAAATGTGTGTTTGTTTGTTGTACATCAAGTTTTTTTTTCAAAATAAGCTTCGGGTCATTTTTAATTTCTAAAATTTTTGCACATTTTTAATTTGTAATATAAGGAATTTGGCAAAAACCCACTTTGTACAAAGATGGGTTTAAAAAATTTTAAAATCAACAATTAATTATTGTTACCAATCGCTTGATACTCGGAAAGAGTATGGTTTACTTGTTGTCTACATAACAATTTTAATTTCTAAATTTTTGCGCATCTTTAATTTGCAATATAAAGGAATTTGGCGAAAACCCACTTTGTACAAAGATGGGTTTTAAAAAATTTTAAAATCAACAATTAATTATTGTTACCAATCGCTTGATACTCAGAGTATGGTTTACTTGTTGTCTACATAACAATTTTAATTTCTAAATTTTTGCGCATCTTTAATTTGCAATATAATAATAAAGGAATTTGGCGAAAACCCACTTTGTACAAAGATGGGTTTAAAAATTTTTAAAATCAACAATTGATTATTGTTACCACTCGCTTGATACTCAGAAAGAGTATGGTTTACTTGTTGTCTACATGACAATTTTTTCATTATAAATACAACTATAATTTGCAAAGACATCAGAATAAAATTTTCTTAATTAATTTGATAATTGATAATAACTATCATAATCATAAATAATAACCTTATCATAAGTAAATCATAAATAATAACTATCATAAATAATAATAACTTTATCATCACATATTTACTACCTTATTTACTACCTTTTTTAAAAATGAATACTGTTTGTGAAATCGTTTCTTCTAATCGTGGCAAAGACAAAATTAATGTTCATGGTTTTATTATGTGCAAAGATAAAAACAATAACAATTCTTATTACTGGCGTTGTGAAAAACGTGATGCACTACAATGTAAAGGCCGAGCAGTTACCAAGTTTGTCGAAGGACAACATCGTCTCCAAAAAGTTACAGATCATAATCATGCTGCGGAGGCAAGCCGATTCAATGTTATAAGAACTGTCAATACTTTAAAAGAGAGAGGAATAGAGACTAATGAACCACCTGCACAAATTATTCAAACCACAACTGCTAGTATCTCTCACGAAGCATATTTATACCTTCCATCTCGTGATGCACTTCGTCAAACAATTAATCGAGTTAGGAGTTCTGATCTTCCTGTAGAACCAGAATCTTTAAATGAACTTACTGTTCCTGAAGATTTGACAAAGACTCTAAGTGGATCAGACTTTTTGGTTAAAGATATTCTCCTGGATGAAGATAGAATATTGCTCTTTACAACCATTGCTAATGTCCAATATCTGGAACAATCCCCTTTCTGGATTATGGATGGGACATTTAAAACAGTTCCAAATATATTTAGACAATTATATTCAATTCATGGACGTGTTGGTACAGATGAAAATTCACAAATAGTGCCACTTGTCTATGCATTAATGTCCAGAAAATCGGAAGAATGTTATAGGGGTTTGTTTCAGGGATTGGTTGATTTTGGTGATGAAAATGGTGTTCTTCTCCGGCCACAATTTATTTTGACTGATTTCGAACGAGCAGCCATCAATGCTACTCGTAGAGAATTTGAAGGTGTTCAAAACAAGGGATGTTTATTTCATTTGGCTCAGAGCATTTACCGGAAAGTACAAAGTTCTGGACTTAGTGTTCAATATGGAACTGACGAAAATTTCAGTTTAAAAATTAGACACATTCCTGCACTTGCTTTCCTGCCTCCTGATGACATTCCCGCAGCATTTGATGAATTAAAGGATCATATTCCTCAAGAGGCTAACGAAATCGTAAGATGGTTTGAAGAGTACTATGTGCATGGTAGAGCAAGACGCACATTAAGAAATGGGAATGTAATTCATGCAACACCATTATTTCCACCTGACTTCTGGTCAGTCGTTGATAATATCGATCATGCATTTCCACGAACTCAAAATTCTGTAGAGGCTTGGCATCGAAGATGGAGTGCCTTAGTAGGTACTGCACATTTAGGTGTTTACAAAATCATAAAGGAATTGCAGAAAGAACAAAATCGAGTTGAGCTTGATGTAGAATCGATTTTACGAGGAATACCACGGCCTTTACAAAAAAAACAGGACCGTGAACGTGAAGCACGAATTCGGGCAGTGTTCAATGACCGTGATAATAGAACACTTATGGACTTTCTTCGGGGAATGGCTCATAGCATTTCATTTTAGTATTACTATTTTATTAAATACTGTACATTATTAATTGTATTTTTTTTTAAAAATAAAAGACATTATTATTACAATTCTTTATTTTCTACTGATTTAGTTATCTACTATTATAAAATATTCCGATCAATACTATTGTTACCAGATTTTATTAATTATTCGTATGAATTATTTGTATTTGTATTCGTGTTACGTTTTGTCATATTTATTAATTATTAATTATTTCATAATGCGATATTTAACGTAAGAAAACGACTAAATTAAACTTTGGGTAATGTTAAACAAACAAGGGATGATATGAAAACAATGGAAAATTTACTAGAACATTCAAAAAAATCATTTTTTGTTGTTTTATTAAATAAATTTGTCTCTTAAATTGGTCACGTTTACTTCATCAACAATCATCTCGTGTTATATCAAGGTAGTTTCGAAGTTATATCGAGAGATATGGTCAAGAGAAGAGTTAGAAAGAGAGTTGTCCTTTGACCAAGTCGAAAACCAACCCTTTAAATATATCTTCAAGTAGCACAATTTAATTTATTAAACTAATTTCTTCGACATTTTGTTTAGATCGTCAAGTACATTTATTCCTTCCTATATACATATGTAAATGATTATAGTGATGTTATTAAATTTGTATAAACTATTGAATGATTGATAAAACCTTCGTTAGTATATTTTGTTCATAGATCAGCTTACTTCGATTACTCCTACACAAACTATTAAATAGTTGATAAACGTTCGTTAGAATATTTCATTCATAGATCTTGTCCTTAAAACTTACTTCGATTACTCTTATACCAACTCTTGAATAATTAATAAAACGTTCGTTAGAATATTTCATTCATAGATCTTGTCCTTAAAACTTACTTCGATTACTCCTACATAAGCCATTGAATAATTAATAAAACGTTCGTTAGAATATTTTATTCATAGATCTTGTCCTTATAACTTACTTCGATTACTCCTATACCAACTCTTGAATAATTGATAAAATGTTCGTTAGAGTATTTCATTCATAGATCTTGTCCTTAAAACTTACTTCGATTATTCCTACATAAACTATTAAATATTTGAATAATTAATAAAACGTTCGTTAGAAT